ATATGGCTTTACTTGCACCTAATTAAAACTTAAGCGTTGAAATTTTCATCACTGTAGCTTGTATATTGTGTGATACTGGTTTGAGTGTGTTTAAGCGAATTGTAAACTCCATGATAGATTGGATCTATAAAGGGCAGTAGGTCGAGAATATCTATATATTTTAAATAGTCTATGAATAGAGGATCACTATAAGCTGGAAGTATCTGAATATTAGACATGAAAGTTGACCTGCATCTTCTTAACATGGACATTGAACGAAACGGTTCGTTGGGATCTAATGTGTATTGGAAGCCTATATAACTATCCATTTTGTAATATAGTCTAAATATGCTGTTCCAAACCAAAGAATTTTTGTCTTTATCAACATTTCTTTTTATAAAATGCGTTGTTAGCAGTTTGGAAAATCTGAAAATGTCAGATTGTTTCATAAATTTTACATCAAAACGAGAGCGCGTCATTTTAATTACTGATACCCAGTCCTGTGGAACTGAAATTGTGGCGTTTCTTTTTGCACAAATCTCTCTATGGTAGCATGGTCTGTATCACATTCTAAATGAGTATGACCAGGAACTTATGATAAATTTGTTTTACAGTTTCCTTTCCTTCAAGTGCTTTTAAAAACAATCGGTATTATGTTATTTTGGTTTTGACCGGAAAACGTATCAGAATAACGAACTAGTTTTTCTACCTGTTCTGGCAAGTCTTTAATAAACTGAAATAAGCAAGATGCGATCTCATCAGCTCCCCGTTGAGCTACACCTTCATGCCACACTTAACAAGATGTCCGTTTTGTGGTGATATTGCGGATCGTCAAATTAAAAGTCCAAAACTTTATTTTATAGCTTGCCTAAGCTCCGTATACTTTCTTCTTTGCTGCCTTGTTTTGTTGTTAAATGAAAGGAAGCATTATTCTGGTATTGTTGGCTTTCATTTTTTAATCTTTCTTTTTCTTCTTCGGAGGCACAGCTTTTTATCTTTAGAAATAATGAATCACAGATTTTGCAAGTGTCATTAGATGGCTTCTTAAACTAAGATAGAAGTAGAAGATGCTTTCTTTTTTTTAACAACGCCATCTGAGAAACCTCTGGTTTCGCCAAATACTTTAAAAAAGCAACATTTATGGATATTACCATCCATATTCTCCAACTTATAAAGAACTGTAAATTGCCTATTTTTGACTGAGTTACCACGCCGCGTTCTTTCTTTAGGTTTTACTGTTATTAAACCAGCCAAATAACGTTTCTGTGTATCCATAGTTGCCAAGTTTCTGTAGTCTCTAAAAATTTGCTTTAGATCAACAGAGGCAGTCTTTTCATGATATTTTGCTTGAAAGTTTGTGGACCCAGGTATTGAAATTTTAGCTGAAATGCTGTTACCTTTAGGAATAATATATTCCTCACTCTTTCTTTTTTTATCAGAACGACCTTTTCTAAATTTCCGTTACATTGGACCCTGGCCCTTTTTTCCTTTTTTTTATAGTTATTTGCGGCCAAAGGAAAGTGATCATCTAACTCGTTTTGAGGGTCTTCGGAATCCGCTTTTCCATGTTCATGTTCAGAATCTGATGGTTACCACAAATTGCTAGATCCAGAAATAAAATTATCATTAGAATTTACTTTAGAAGCTAATACATTCAGCAGATGAGTATTTTCTTTAAGATTTACCGGTGAAGATAGTGCTGGTTTTAAAACGTGCAAATTGTTGTCTTTACGTCCAGAGGGGCCTGAATATGAAGCTGATTCAACATAAGTCAGTTCTACACTAGTGAGAAACAAGTCGTACAAAATGTTGCTAGTAACATCTGTGCTTACTAGCAACTACCAAACTTAATACTTACATTATTAGAAGACAACTGTTGATTTTCAAATAAACACGTCTCAATTATTTTTGTAATACAAAACCTTGTATTATAAGCCATGTTTACCAAATTACTCGACTGCATTTACTGCGTCATTCGCCTTCGAAAGATTTAGACAAACTGACTTTAATACTGACTTATTGACTAAGTGTAACTAACTAACCATCGATAGACCGTAACACTAACACAATCCAATCGACACGTTCGTGAATACGACCAAATGCTCATGAATAATTATGATAAGTACAAAACAACGAAAATAAAAGTTTGATATATTCATGTTATTTACCACTTACATAAACATAGGAAACATAAAGGAAGGAGTAAGGCAAAACACAAGGAACTACAGAGATTGGTAGGAAAGAAAATAAAAGAGGCCAAAGCCTCCTGGCTTGCTAATCAATGTAGTGAAATAGAGGCATATGCTAAACAGTATGATAGCTTTAGCATGCATAAGAAAATAAAGGAAATGACAAATACACTGAGAAAAAAGAAAGATGCCCTTCTGAAAGACGCAAATGGTAAAATCATTAAAGAAATTAAAGAGAAATTAAAAGAATTGAAGACATACATAACAGATCTATTTGAGGATAATCGACAAGAACTGGAAGAAATCGACAGTGAAACGGGGCCAGTGATCATAATATAGGAAATCGGGCAAGCAATACGAAACGCAAAAAACCGAAAAACTGTAGGTCCAGACGAAATTCCTGCGGAACTACTGAAATGTCTAGACGATGAAACTCTACTTGTACTTCTGAACCTATTTAATGAAGTATATAAAACTGGAAAAATGCCACAGGAATGGTTGGTGTCCACCTTTGTATCATTACCAAAAACAGTATATGCCAAAAATTGTTCAGACTATAGAACAATATCACTAATAAGCCATACCCTTAAAATATTTCTAAAGGTGATTCATGGAAGATTATATGGAAAACTAGAAGAAGATATGGCTGATACTCAGTTTGGGTTCCGCAAGGGACTGGGAACGAGAGAGGCATTGTTTGCTTTTAATGTCCTTTCTCAAAGATGCTTAGATATGAAACTAGATATTTATTCCTATTCCAGAAATACTGAAAAACAAAGATATAGACAGACAAGACTTACTAATCATTATCAATCTGTATTGGAATGAAAAGGCCAATATAAAGATAGAAGAACAAAAGTCCGAAAATATAGATATAAAAAGAGGAGTAAGACAGGGCTGTGTTCTGTCAACATTACTGTTTAACGTGAAGTGAAGTCATAATCTAGGAAGCGATAGCGGATCTGGGTGATGGAATCTCTGTAAACGGAAGAATAGTAAATAGCATAAGATTCGCTGATGACATCGTTATAATGGCAGACACCCTGGAATCGCTACAAGAATTGGTAAATAGAATTAACGATTATTGCATTAGATACGGACTAAAAATAAATAAGAAAAAAACTAAATTTATGATTAAACGCAACATGGAAATGAAAGATTAATGATAGAGCAAACCCACATAGAAAAAGTAGAGACAAACAAATATCTGGGAACCTGGGTTAATGACAAAAATGACCAAAGCAGAGAAATAAAGTCCGAATTAAAACTGCAAGGCAAGCATTTGTGAAAATGAAGACAATTCTTACGAACAGAGACCTTCAGTTGCATCTCAGATTGAGAGCTCTGAGCTGCTGAGAATTTTTATGCAAGGAAGGATCCAAGGAAGAAGAAGCATAGGAAGAAGACGCATCTCCTGGCTGAGGAACCTTAGAGAATGGTTTAACTGTAGTTCACTACAACTTTTTAGAGCAGCAGCCAACAAAGTGACCATAGCCGTCATAATATCCAACCTCCGTTAGGAGATGGAACTTTAAGAAGAAGACCACTTACATAAAAAAACTTACAGAAAATGCCACCTAAATATAATATTTATTTGAATCAACGATGCTAAGTGGGACATAGCATAAAATTACCGAAATAATTTGCATATTATTTGATATAATTATGATAAATACTAATTAACATATGGACCAAAATGTTATCGTATAATTTTGTTTTCGAGTACATGATATAATATTTTAACAGGACTATACAAAATTTGAATAATAGGGACTTATCGATATTATACCAAACCGTGGCTCATTTTATAGACGTGATGGACATACTATAGTCAGATTCAACGAAAATAGATCAAAAACAAAATGCAGTGCAGGACTCAACAAAATTTTCGCTATTTTGTAGTTATCATGTGTCTTCCAAACACCACAGATATATATATATATATATATATATATATATATATATATATATATATATATATATATATATATATAGCAAGAGATAAGTCAAGAATCGGCAGAAGAAGTACAGATAGAGTGACAACTTTCCATATAGCTAATAATTCGCGCCAATGAACAAGCAGAATTGCTTACTGTTGCAGGTGGAGAACGGTCCAATTTCCTGACCTGGCTTGTGAATGGGAGTAGTCGCAAAGATTAAGGATAGTACTTTATATTACTAGGTGCCATTATCTCTTTTATTGAGACAGTCTGGGCATTTTTGGATCTCTATGGTTTGTTGAATAATTCTTGCTTTATAGAATCGGATAGGGGCTATAGTTCTTGAATTTTTTGAACTAATTTTGTGAACATAATCGAGATTACGTTGGCGTGGAGTTGAACCTAAATCGGACTTGCAAATGGAAAGGATATGAACATGTATCCTATTTTGAATTCTTTGATTGGTTTGACTTACATAAGATCGAGGTAGTCTGTACAAGAAATTTCGTAAAAACTATTCATTTGGAATATATTTTTTCAACGGATCGGACAAAGATGAAAGTTTTTGTTGAGGACTAAATGTCTATTTTGTCAATTTTTTCAGTAAAACCTTTGATAAGGAATAAAAGCTGGCATATAATAAATATATTTTATGCATATATTTTACATAGAGCGGTCTTAGATGACAATACGTTCTGGTGTGTTATTAGTGCTGGCACTGAGTACTGTGATATATTGCACTGAATGGTGTACCATTACCTCTTTACACGAATTACACGAAATCCTAATTAATAAACCCACGTAATTACAGAAATTTTGCTAATTTTTAACTTACAGATTTAAAACTAATCTAGTCCATATATTAAATCTGTTTTTTTTTTAATGATTTTAGACTCATCTCAAGGGGCTATAGCAAACGAGAGTAAGTATACACAACATTGAAAACAGGTTTTCATAGCAATACTACTATTATTTCTTTTTCAGTGTGTAATATCTACACAGAGAATGCTAAGAAGAATAACAATTGCCCTATTCCACTTTTTCCTCATGTAACGTCTAGTGGTATATTCGCAGAAAGGGCAGAATTTCCTCATATGGTATATATATTTATAAAACTACTTTTTGCTTATATTTTTGGAAACTAATGTCTGTTTTGTGATATATTTCTAAAAAATATGTAAAAGGAATAAAATGTTGAAATGTACATTTTTTCAATCACTTTTTAATCATTTTTAACTAACATTTATTTATTTTTCATACAGTTCTGACATAAAATGTTTTGTATCACATGTTTATAATTGAATAATATAAAGTATTTTATTATTTAATATTAAAATAATAGTTGGTGTTTGAGTAGTCAAAAGAATGCTATAAATAAAATAAAATATACGTTTAATATATTAATTACAATAACAAAAAGACGGAAACTATAGCCCTAATAGGAAGGTGTGTCATTAAATGCCCATATTAAAATATTCAACATTTTCATATAATTTATTTTCATATTAATATTGTTACTTTGGTCATGGCCTTTGCCTTTTAAAAAAAATATCTAACAATAAAAACACCAAGCTTATGGATGTGCAAATATTATTTTATTTTCTTTTTGTTATTTTTTTCTTCAAATTTTCTGCATTCATATCATTGGTTTTTAAGTTAATATTGTTCACTATATTTGTTGTTTAAATATTTTAGGTAGAGGTCGGTTTCAAGGGCGAAAATGGAACTGAGTGGCTTGTTAGTGGTTTTATAATTAGTAAAAATTACGTTATTACTGTAGCTCATAGTACTAGGCCCCGTGGGAGGTAAGTGCATCAAATTACTATTATATTATACATATATATATATATATATATTATATATTTATAAAGAAACCGCAGATTCTATACTTTAAAATATTACCATTTAAGCCAACTTGCTTTAATATAATCTTGATATTAAAAAAGATACAGGGTGTTAAAGTGGAAATTTAAAATTTTATTTTTCGCTATAACTTTCATGTTTGTAAACATTTATGTATAAAAATTTACAGTTAGGTACTACGTAATATCAAGAATTAAAATGTGATGCATACTTTGATATAGCTAATATTGGGCGCCACATATGCCACATACGTGGCATAAATTTACACTTAACTTTTTTGTTCTTCAAGTTAACAATATTTTTCATAAAAAATATTAAAGATACATTATTTTAACAAAAAAAAAGGTACACCTGTTAATAACTTTAAAACTCAACAGTTTTCGAGACAATCGCATTTTACAAATCAACTGCATATGTCAAATAAACGTCAAAGTTTTAAATACACATTTTAAATTTCCTCACGGATTTTAAAGATTTAAACAGTATTAAACAGATAAATTAATCCACCGACGAGTTAAAAATACGAAGAAATTCCCACTCAGGTAGCCTACGAGTAAACATTACCGTGCCTTATCGGTAATAATCGATTTCTACCAGTTTACGAACCAGTAACAATTATGTGAAAATTCGAATTATTTTGTGTGTTATGGAAACAGCAATTATCATTGAACTATAATATTATTATATTCAACTGACCGTTTCTTACCTGACAGGTAAGAAAAGTTACCTGTATTCAAGAACCAATCCGGTGGATCTTTGGAAAAAGATTAGACAAATCCAAGGAAACAACACCAACCTCAAAATCTCTAGCATTGCTGTAAATAACACTACAATCACTGACAATCAAGAAATCGGCGAAACCTTAGCAAAGCACTTCGACAATAAATTTAAAAGTAAAATAGATACCTCCTTACGAAATCCATTACCTAACGCCCCACCTTGTTCCTCACCCGATACAATAATGGACATCACACATCTTAATTCTCCCTTTCTTTTTGAAGAACTAGTATCAGTTATTCAAACCTGTAAAAACAATGCCGCTGGTCCTGACGACATTCCTTACATATTTATCAAAAAGCTCTCCAATTGTAGCCTACTCAAAATACTTGAGATGTATAATTTAATCTGGTCATCTAACCAATTTCCCAAACAATGGCAAACCTCTATCGTAATACCCATTAAAAAGCCTAACCTAGATCGTTCCTTGGCCAACTCTTATAGGCCTATATCACTAACTTGTACGATGTGCAAAATATTTGAAAAAATGATTAATAAAAGACTTCTATGGTTCATTGAAAAACATAAGATATTCGCTAGTGAACAGTCAGGATTTCGTCGAAACCGTTCAACCCAAGACAACCTTGTAATCCTCCAAACTCATATATCAGAAGCCTTAAACAAAAAACAAGAAGTCGTAGCTGCCATATTTGATATTGAAGGTGCTTTTGATACTATAAGTAGGCAATGTTTAATAAACAAACTTATCCTTCTTAATATTAATGGTAATATATTTAACTTCATACAAAATTTTCTATCTTCTAGATCGTTCAGAGTCTCTGTCAACGGTATTTTATCTTCTACTTATACTCAAACTGATGGCGTACCTCAGGGATCGGTACTAAGTCCTACACTTTTTAATCTAGCAATAAGTGATTTATGCTCTCATCTCATTTCCCCTATTAAACAAATCATGTATGCTGATGATCTAGTAATTTACTGTCATGGACAAAACTCTTTTACCACCTCGAAGCTTATTCAAGCTGCTGTTGACACACTTTTAAAAAAAACTAGTGACATGGGGTTATCTTTATCCTATGTAAAATCTAAAATTATAAACTTTAGTAGACGTCCCCCTTCTCCATCTCCACTTATTTTGATTAACAATGTCCCTATTCCTGTTGTTAAACAATGCAAAATTCTCGGATTAACGTTTGACGCACGACTAACTTGGAAGCAACATATATTTGCAATAAAAGGAGAAACGTGCAAAAGACTAAACATAATAAAAACTTTATCACATCATTATTGGGGATCTGACGAAAACTCACTTCTTAAAATATACAGATCACTAATACGTTCCAAGCTAGATTATGGTTGTCACATATATATATCCGCCTCCAAAACATATATTAACCTTCTAAACTCAATTCACAACACAGCCCTTCGTCTTTGTATTGGCGCTTTTCGATCTAGTCCTATAGATAATCTTTATTGCGAAGCTAACGAACCTCCTCTTTATATAAGACGAAAACAACTGCTACTCTCTTATGCAGCATCGGTATCAGCTAACCCCTCTAATCCAGTGCATCCCTTATTTGTAATGTCCACATACAATTTACACAATACCAATTCCTTACCACCAATAAAACCTATTCCACTAATTTTAGCACAGACACTTAATGATATCTCTCTTACACATACCCTTCCTCTTTATCCCCCTATATCTCCTCCTTGGATCATCTCCACGCCCAAATTTAACACCTCGCTCACCAACTTCGATAAAAATAAACATCCGAAAGAGATCATTATAAATGCATTTAAAGACATTATATGTACAAATAGTTACGACCTAATATTATACACGGATGCCTCAAAAAATGACACAGGAGTAGGCTGCTCTGTCACAACCTCTCATTCATTAATTAAATCATCACTTATACCATCCGTTAGCAGCGTTCATACTGGCGAATTATTTAGTATATTGCAAGCTTTCAACCACATATCTCCACTTAATAAGCAGGTTGCCATATGCACAGACTCTTTAGCATCAATCCATTCTATCAAAAATATATTTACCGATCATCCAATCGTCCAAAAGATCCTAGACTCTTACCAAATTATCTTGTCCCAAAACATAACAGTTACCATAATTTGGCTGCCATCTCATATTGGTATAGAAGGCAATGAAACTGCAGATCACTATGCTAAACTTGCTACAGCATCACCTGAAATCACCGATAAAATTCAAATTTGTAAGGACCTAAAATTATATACTAAAAGAAGAACCAGACTCCTTTGGCAGCAGCATTGGAACTATAACCGTTCGATCTTACACGAAATACAACCGTCAATAACCAGTCAGCCTACATTTGACTATTCAGCCCTGTCAAGACGAGATCTCATTGTGATAAGACGACTTCGGATAGGACATTCAAAACTCACTCACGGCTACCTAATGTCCTCTAGCATCCGTCCCTCCTGTCAAAGCTGCCAATCATATTTGACAATCAAACATATTCTCACTGAATGCCATCAACATTCGGCCAGAAGATTACAATACAAACTCAAAAGTGAAGTACGAGATATCCTAAGCGACCCTGACCAAATAAAAGCTGTGCTACAATTCCTTAGAGATGAACACTTATATCAAAAAATATAATTAGATTTTAATTTAGACATTGTGTAACATATTATTATCATTCCGTATTATTGTAACATATTCTTAATGTAACATTTATTGTTTGTATAATGAAAACTCATGTTATAGTACCTGTGTAAGTGGCCATAGCAGCCGAGCACGTTAAAGTCGAAATAAAAAAAAAAAAAAAAAAAAAAAATCAACTGCATAATTCTGATTTAACGCAATTACTCCAGGCAATGAAAGGAAAATAGATAAAAACATCAATACTTCTGAATTTTGTTATAAAATACCTTTAATAAATTCAATAGTTAACGAAATATTAAATAAAAGAAATATATCAGCAGGATAATTAATAATAGGATTTTAATAAAATAACAGAATAATTGGATTTTACATCAAACATTTTAGGTTTTGTATTAAATTAAAGTCATAATCAAAACATTTTATTTACAAACCAAATTAAAAAATAGTTAAACTAAGTAACATTAAACTTTTTGTCAAAGTAAGTGTTCGATATGTCCACCATTATCTTTATTCATTTGTCAATACATTCCATAAAATATCGTCTCATATTAAATAGCATCATTGGTTTTAAAGAAACTGCTGCAGTATTTATTATACTTGTTTTAAGTATAATAATAAGTAATTTTTTAAAAATTTTATGAATTAAATAATTATATTATTATCTCACCACAAGAATATAACTACCACGAACAATCCAACGTTCAGGAAAGTGTATTTAAATACTGTCTCACTTCGCTTCCACTGTAATGGTATACCCTCTTGTAGAAACCACATATTTCGCCTTAAGTTTGATGATAATTCTTCCAATAAATCAATAAAATCATTTTATAAAAAATGTAAATAAATCTTACCATTCAAATTGAGAGGTTATTCGCATATCAGTAAAATATCATTCAAAATTTATATTTAAAATGCATGTTCTATGGTTTGGAACCATTAATAATTATTTTTTACTCATATGTGAATTACGTTGCAATTTGGATGTCGAGATTTATTTACATTGTTTATAAAATACTTTCATTGATTTATTGTAAGAATTGTTATCAAATTTAAGGCGAAATATGTGGTTTCTACAAGATGGTACACCATTACATTACAGAGAAAGCGGAGTAAGGCAGTATTTAAATACAACTTTCCTGAACGTTGAATTGTTCATGGTAGTCATATTCTTGTGGTGAGATATTAATATAATTATTTAATTCATAAACATTTCAAAAAATTACTTATTATTATACTTATAACACTTATAATATAATATATAATAAATATAATAAAATAATAAAGTATTCGTTTGAAGTTTTTATGAATTAAATAATTATATTAATATCTCACCACCTGACCAAGGAATATGACTACCACGAACAATCCAACGTTCAGGAAAGTTGTATTTAAATATGTTCTTACTGTCCTCTCTCTATAATGTGGTAGTGTACCATCTTGCATAAATCACAATTCTTCCAATAAATAAATCAAATTATTTTATAAAAAATTAATATAAATCTCACCATTCAAATTACAAGGTCCAATTCGCATGTCCTTAAAAAATAATTACAAATGATTCCAAACCATACAACATGCATTTTAAACATGAATTTTAAATAAACGTATGGTTTGGAACCATTGGTTATTATTTTTTAAGAACATGCGAATTACCTTGTAATTTGAATGGTGAGATTTATTTTTATTTTTTATAAAATTATTTTACTGATTTATTGGAAGAATTGTCATCAAACGTAAGGCAAAATATGTGGTTTATGCAAGATGGTAAACCACCACATTATAGAGAGAGGGCAGTGAGGACATACTCAAATACAACACTCCTGAACGTTTAACTCTTCGTGGTAGTCACATTTCTTGGTCATGTGGTGAGATATTAATAAAATTTCTTTATTCTTCTTCTTTTTGTGATACCTATGCGTTGCGGATGTTGGCTACTAGCATGGAAATTCTAACTTTATTGACCGCAGCTCGAAATAGTCCTGAAGTGGTCAAGGAAAACTATTTTCGTAAGTTCTGGAGCTAAGATATCCTTTTTCTTCCTGGTCCCCCCTTTTCGTAGACCTTTTCCGGTAATATAAGTTGCAGCAGGTTATATATATATGACCGTTTTGTATTATATGTCCAAGATGTTCTAGCTTGCGCTATTTCACTGTGGATATAATTTTACATGTTCTATCCAACCGACGTAGAACCTCAATGTTTGTTATTCGGTCTACCCAGGAGATCATTCTTGCATAAAAATCCCAAAAGAATACTTATTATTATAATTATAATACTTATAAGAAATACTGCAACAGTTTCTTTAGAACCAACGATGCCATTTAATACGAGGCGTTCTTTTATGAAATCTGTTGACAAATGAATTAAAGTAAAATGGTGGATATATCGAACACTTACTTTGACAAAAAGTTTAATGATATTCAGTTTAACTATTTTTTAAATTGGTTTGTAAATAAAATGTTTTGATTATGACTTTAATTTATTATAAAACGTGAAATTTTTGATGTACAAAATTCAGAAGTATTGATGTTTTTGTCCATTTTTCTTTCAATGCCTGGAGTAATTTCGTTAAATCAGAATTATGCATAGATTGTTAAGATTTGTAAAATGCAATTATCTCGAAAACTGTTAAGTTCTGAAGTTACTAAGAAGTACACCATTTTTTTGTTAAAATAATGTATCTTTAATATTTTTTATCACAAACACCGGTAACTTCAAAAACAAAAAAGTTAAGTGCAAATGAATGCCACATATGTGGCATATTTGGCGCCCTCTATCAGCGACATTAAATCGTGCACTAAATTACAGCTTCTAATATTTAATAGTACCCAGTTATAAATTTTCATACCGAAATGTTCAGAAACAAAAAAGTTATAGCGAAAATTAAAATTTTAAATTTGTACTTTAACACCCTGTACCTTTCTTAATATCAACATTTAATTAAAGCAATTTGGCTTAAATCGTAAATTTTAAAGTGTAGAATCTACGGTTTCTTTTTGTACAATTAGTGTTATCTTATATTTTTGTTTACCAACTTTATTTTTATTACCATCACATTTAATATTTTTTTATTTTATTTTCTTTAATTTTATTTTATTTTATGTGTTTTATTTAATTTTATATAATTTTATGATATTTTCATTATTTTGTTTAATTTATTTAAATTATTTAATTTTATTTAAGTTTATTTAATTTTATTTAATTTTATTCACTTTTATTTAATTTTATTAAATTTTATTTTATTTTTCTTGATTTTATTTATTTTTTAATTTTTTTTTTAACTTTACTAAATTTTGTTTAATTTTATTTATTTTATTTTTTTTATTTTACTTAATTTTATTTATTTTATTTTAATTTACTAAATTTTATTAAATTTTCGTTAATTTTATTTAATTTTATTTAATTCTGTTTCAATTTACTTAACTTTGATTAATTTCATATGTGTTTCATTTAATTTTATTTAATTTAAAATTTTATTTAATTATGTTTAATGTTATTTAATTGTATTGAACTATATTTACCTTTATTTAATTTTGTTTAAAAATGCTTAATTTTATTTAATTTTAATTAATTTTATTATTTTTTTGGTTAAACGTTCACATTTGTTAAACTGCTTTATTTTTATATAAGTGTATAATTACGTATATATAACGTATATAAAACGTATGTAAACCTTACCTTACAATTACAATAATCTAAATTCTTAGTAATTTTGTGAAAAATATAATTTTTTCTTGATGACGAAGCAGTAAAATTTCCGAGGAAAGATATTTGAGTAATAAATTTGTAGATTGAATTGTTGTTGGTTCAGATTCCTTTCCTATGTGGTGTAATTACCCTACCGGACAAACAATGTTACTTGTCGTCCTAGCCTTATATATAGATATATGTATATATAAAAATCTTGAACTCAAATGATAATTTATTTTTTAGAGATGCACCTGAAATAGTAAGAGCTGGTGTAACAGATAAAGCGGACCTGTCAAAAGCGCAGATAAGAACAATTGAGTCTGTCTTAATTCATCCTGAGTATAAACCACCAATAAAATACAACGACATAGCTCTTATTAAAATTAAGGAAGATTTTATATTTAATACGTTTGTTAGCCCTATATGTTTACATACCAGCGAAGAAAATCCAGATGTAAAAGGTATTCATTCGGGTAAGTCACTATATCAAGTTACGCTATGATTGTAACTATAAAGTTATTAGTATTTTTACCATCATCCATTACGTGGATTAATTACCTATTTTCAACAAACAGAATTGTAGTATATAGGCTGTACTAACAAAAAGCCAATCTTCAGTTGACTGATAAGTGACTAATCTATGCAGTATTATAGTAAGACTTAAGTTATGTTGAATATTTAAAAAAAATGGTTAACGACAAAATAGTCCTTTTGACAAAGCAGAAAAAACCTAGAATTTGTATAAGTTACCTTCCAGAAGGTTTTACACATAAAAGTCGCCTCTAGACGGACACCAAGACAATTCAACAAATATTTTCAAAAGTAAAGAAATGCTATTATACTCCATTTGCTTAGATCGGGCATATTTTGACAGATTCATTGTCGGAAACCTAAAACACAACAATTCCTACTTCTCAGTATTAGTAGCTCAAGTATACTACTATTGCAGACTTCTTTCTTTCAAAAAAGAAGAATTATTCAATAATGTAAGTATACCAAACCCATCAAATTTTCCCTGTATATTTAAAATATAATATTTGAATTGTTACAATTTAACATATTGTAGTAAATATTTGTATTGTTCGCGTTGTCTATTTTAGCTAATATAGTTTTATTGTTCTATTATTTTTGTTTAATTCTTTGTTAGTTCTGTTTAGTTAATTCGTTAGTTTTCTTTTGAATTTTATTATTAGGGATAGTCAAAGTTTTCCATTTGTTCTATCAGATAATGCATTAGTAATTTTTTCTTAAATAAATATGATAAATGTTCTTTAAAATTTAATATTTTTAGATGAGTAAGGATGCTGTTAAACTACAAGGTAATCAAACTGCACAAAGATGTATTCAAATCACCAACCATTTTTTTTTATTATTCTCATTCGGCGTAGGTTGATCATTAAATATATTTATGAAATTATGTATATAAAAATGTTCTTAATAACAAAATCATTTCAGTTAACTTCCTGTTCAGTTTGACATGGTGTCAAAAATTATCTATAATTTAATAAAAATGTATTTTATAAAAAAGTTATGGTAATTTCGTTTATATCGTTAAGTTACTCCAAATGTAGGCAACCAAATTAAAATTTTTGTTAGCATTTAGCTGGAGATTCTTGAGAATATTTTTAATAAACTTTTAATATTTTTCATCGGTTTTGGCGTTAGGAGTCATATGTGAGAATGTTATTGGCAGATGATCTTAATTCGAGAAGGTCGTTGGTTTCAGACTGAGGTATACTGACATAGATGTTTTCTATGTCAGGAGTTTCTAGATTGAACGGAATGGTCCCAAGCTTGTTTAATTTGTTTTGGAGATGAGATAGAGATTTGTGTAGAAGTTGTATTTTTTTATTAGGGAACATTCATACTAATCCAAAATGGCGAAGGGAAGAAGATGTTCAAGTTGGATGAATATGTTTGACATTTGTCTATGAATGAATGCTATATCGGAATGTACGGACGAAATATGGAAGTTCAATAATCGTGCTCTCACCTGCACGTTAATAAAATCAGCTCTTCTTATCAATTTGTTAGACAGGGAACCCATAGTCGTCTGCATAATGTGGTCGGTGCGATCACTAATAAAACGTAGGTATTTCTTTGTCTTCCTGCATTGGAACAAAAAAGTCCTTTCTGCTTCGATTCTTGCTAACTTCTCGTTCAGTTTGCTCCATCTTTTAAGCCTTCTTCTTCTTCTTCGTGTAGCCATTCACGTCCACACCTGAACATAAGCCACTTCAAGTCTTCCTTTCCATTGTTTTTTATTGTACGCTACTTGTAGCCAATTTTTCCCGGCAGTCCTTTTCAGATCATCTGTCCATCTCATAGGAGGTCTGCCTCTGGGTCTTTTGTGTTGGTATGGTCTCCAGGTTAAACTTGATCTGTGCCATTTGTTTAGATCGCTCCTAGCTACATGTCCAGCGTATTCCCATTTTAGCTTTAATGCTTTTTGCACTACATCGGTGACTTTGGTTTTCTGTCTTATCCATGTGTTTGTTTTCTTGTCCTTAAGTGATATACCTAGCATTGCTCTTTCCATCGCGTGTTGAGTGACTCTAAGTATATTCATATTCTTTTTTGTGATTGTCCATGTTTGTGCCGCATAAGTTAATATCGGAATAATGCATGTAATGCATGTAATCTTTTAAGTATTATCGTCCAATTTAGGACATAGTTTCGTCTGATGGTCACGAAGAATCCCCCTGTATATGTAGACATAGCAAAAAATATGACCATTGATTAAATTTAAAAAAAATTCAATGGTTGAATAGCAGCAATAAAAGTCGTCAACCACTTTATTGATTTATTCGAATACATTTCCCTTTTATTTTTAAAAGCATCAACAGTTGACTACAAACAAAAATGATTTTAGAATATAAGTAAACAACCAACAGGGTTCATACTTACAACAACAATTTGTAGGTTTTTTTTTGGATATTATAAGACATCTACAATAACTTAACATTAAAGATTAACAACTAAACGAGAGTAACGAAACAAAAAAATACAAAAAAAACTGTAAGAACACTTTTGTTTATTTAATTTTAACCGATGGCTTAATGTGAATGTTGCTTTAAGCTCTTTCGAGGGTCAAACCACACTAATCTTTTCGATTGTTTTCTATCAGCTCTAGGATGTCATAATTTTCACATGTGGTTTATTTTCGTACATGTGTTTCTTTGGAATGCTGGAAGAAGGTACAATAATTGAGGGCATTAGCGAGCGTAACGGGAACAGACCTTTTTTACTTGTGAAGTCGGTACTGTATTTTGTTGAAATGGCATGTTGTGCAAGGGCACAAGATGGTTTAGAAATCCTAATGTCGCTTTTGTGGGACGTTAGTCGACTTTGAGGAGAGCGACTGGTCTGGCCAATGTAGCAGGAGTTGCACTCTGCACAGGGTACATGATGGACGACATTAATTTGTTCTAAAGGGGCCAATAAAGTGTTTTTCTTAGAAAATAACTTTCCTAATGTTCTGGTATTTTTTAATGCCATTTTGACAGGTAAGTTCTTGAAAAGTTTATTAAGCTTGTTAGTGATTTGTGGGAAGTAAGAGAGCGAAGTACGGGAGCTAAGTATGCGACCCATATTATCGTCAATAAATGCTCCGAACACAAATATAGCTCAATGCCTAACGAACATTCTTTCACAAGCATTCAATTATAACAAGAACTGCAACATAACAGATTCTTTTCAGTTCAGTGAATTTATAAATAATTATCAACTACCCAGACGCTTTGTCTTAATAAGTTTTGACGTAGTTTCCTTGTTCACAAATCTTTCACTTTCCAGTGTATTAACTTCTCTCCGTAACCATTGGAATCAAATCCAACCCCACAGTTCGATATCTTGGGAAAGTTTTTCCAAATTATTAAAATTGATATTTGACACTAATTATTTAATTTTCAATGACACATATTATCGCCAAATTATTGGAACTCCTATGGGATCTATGATTTCCCCTATTCTAGTCAAGTTTGTATTAGTTGATCTTATTAATGAAAGTATCAAGATTTTCAGGTTCCCTTTGTACAACGGTATGTCGACGATCTGATTTAAGCAACCCCGTCGGATAAGGCGGTGGACACCTTATCAGGCTTTGATCCCTACCTACAATTTACATGTGAATTTAACCCTGCTGTACCGTTCGAGTAAACTACACAAATGTACTGTTCGGATCAATATGACCCAACTATGATTTACGCTCCCTAATAGAAATAAAATAAGCTAATGGTGCTAAACAAAACTGTATTAATAAAAAATTATAGTTAATTAAACAATAATTATATTGTTACTGTAAATTAAACCTTATTAACAAAAATAAAAAGCATTTTTTCTTTCCCAGAAAACCCTAAGAACAAATATCTACAAAATTTAATTCAGTTTACAACTGGGACAGTAATAGAAAGAATAGGTTTTACAAATATGTTTATGACATATACAACATAAAATATTAGTCTTGTTATTCCGTTTTAGAGCAAAATTTACAGCGTGCTCGTTTAGCAGGCGGAGTTGGATGGTCCATAGACGATTCACTAGAATTTCCATCTTCTCTACTCGCTTCTGCTCGTGTTCTTTTTACCAGTTCTTGTGAGTCTTTAGTTCTCGGTAAATTTTTCCTGGAAAGGATAAGTGGTTTCACCAGTGTTTTTCCCAACTCCTCAAGAAAAATTCGTCGTTTTGTAAGTTTATTGGTATTCCATTGGGGATTTATCGATGTCCATAAAACGAACGCGTTGTAGGCAGAAATGTCCAGCATATTGTAAAAAACAATCATGGGCCAGCGATTTGTCTTCCTCTTACATGTATATGTACCAACAAGCTGATCTAGAGTATCCACTGCCCCCTTACTGGAATTGTAATCTAAAATAATTTGGGGCTTCTTGTCAGTTCTGTCACTAATAGCCTTTTCATGATGCAAAGTACTCATAAGAATAACATTTTTATTCTTTTTAGGAATATAGTTAACAACAGTGGTATCTTGTGTGAAGTAAAAAGACGAACTATGAACTTCTTTATTCGCAATTTGTGCTGGAAGCTCTCGTTTATTTTTTCTTATAGTCCCCATCATTGTATTTTTTCTTTTTAGAAGAAGTTGTCCTAAATTGTACGATGTAAAAAAGTTATTACATGTAATATTGTGGCCTTTCAAATCACTACTCAAGTCGCACACCACACGCATTCCCTGATTTCGTTCTGGCGCGGCACCTGCTTCCTTTCCTGTATAGTTCTGCAATTTTAGAGCATAAGAACTTTTACTGTCACATAAGGCTCAAATTTTTATGCCATATTTCGCTGGCTTGCTTGGAATGTACTGTTTGAATGGACAGCGGCCTCTAAAGGCAACTAATTGCTCGTCGACGGTAACATTTTCATCAGGGTTAAAAAATTTTGGTAGATTTTCAACCCATTTTTCCCAAATTTCACGTATTGCAGCAAGTTTATCAGTACGTCTCCTATCCTGTCTAGT